AGCACTTTTACTTCCTTTCTGTACTTGAGGCTGTGATGCTTTAATAAGTTTAACTAAAATTAGAATAAGGAAACAAGAAGAAATTTTCATAGACTATTTGCAGCCTCGTTAAAATTCAAAATATGATAACGAGCAGCCCTGGTTGGTGCGATTTTCTTTACCTCCTCAGTTTCCTGGGTGACGGCTTGCAGTCGAGTTTGTATCTGTTTGAATCTGGTCTCCAGTTCGCATATCATCTCACACTCCGCACTGACCTGAGTAACCTGAAATAAGATAAGATAAGATAGAACTTTATTAATCCCTCGGGTGGGTTCCTCTGGGAAATTCGATTTCCAAAAAGCACAGCACCGACAGAATGTAAGGGAGTCTAGAGTTGTTCCACACACTTAATATATAAAGTTCCTTTACATAATTTAATCAAAATACACACCTGGTCCCCATCGTGGGGCTGATAGGGGAAGCGTAGGGGCATAGAGAAGGTGTTGTAGTTGTCCTGCAGGAGGATGTCTCTATCCCGGCTCTGGTCCAGTCTAGACACGGTCTCCTCTATTTGCTGCAGGCCTGCGCTCAGGTTATCCTGGGCCTTCCACCGTCTTGACAAGTAGGCCTGCATCACCCTGCCCAAAGTGGTGTGGTAACCTGTATCTGCACACTGGAGGAGGAAACTGAATTTAGAATCACTTCATTCATTCGGGAGCTTTCAGATCATGACAGAAGGAATGGAAACAATGAGCGCTGGGGTTCAAATGACATGAGAGATCATGACCTTGAGTGCTATGTAGGGTTTTTGTATGTTGAAAGGAAAAGGTGACTGATGTACTCACATCTATGAGAGTAGAGATGTCTTGCAGGTAGTACTTATTCATGGAGGAATTGGCTGCAGCCAGGTTTAGGAGGTACTCATTTCGGGCCTTGCTGCACTTCAGCTTTATTTCTTGGACTTTAATTTGTCTCTACAGCACATAAACATTGTCAGTAAGAGTCACATGATACGTGCATGCACACACATGACACCAAGCATTTACCTTTTCTATCAGCCTCTCCAGTTTTTTATTTGCACTCTGCTTCTGCTTTTCCTCTTGCTTCTCTGCTTCCCTCAGCTTCCCCTCTGCACAGACATAGTCTGAGTGGTACTGGTAGTATGTTCGCCATGCCTGCACACAGGCACAAAAAGCAATGCTTTCCTCTGTGTACTTAAGAAACGGAAAACATTCTGTGTGGTTGGTTTCTCACGTACCGCCTGTAGCTCTGTGGTAACCTTGAGTAGCCCATCTTGTAGCTGAATGCAGATGTCTTTACTCTGGAAAACACAGACAAAATATCAGAGAAGTGAGATGACACGACACAGCAAGGACACAGTGACCCACGTCATACTTTAAATATCAAGATTTGGAAAAACATGAACTGGTGGTTAAAGTGAGAATGGAAAAACGATAACAGAGCAAGTATTATGTCATTTGCACTGCAGAAGTGCATGGCAGTGTGTTCGTGGGTGAGCGCTTGCAGTAGTACCTTCTTTGCAAGGCGCTGTGTGTACTCCACACAATGTGTGAGAGGTTGGGTGAGAAAGTTGTTGCAGCTTTCACTCAGTCCATTATGGTCCCTACTTTCTTGGCGGGTCTGGGACAGCAGAGTAAGCCATACTTGGGACACAGAGTTACTACTGGGCTCCTTCCTGAGCGTGGTCATGCATAAACAAGAAAAAAAAATACAAAAGGACACAAACTTTGAAGATTGAAATGAACTGCTGTGTAGTTTAGCACGTTATGTGCAGTGTGCAATTACCTCTTTATCCTTGATGTGAACCTTTCTGCTAGTTTTTCCAGGGAACGAGCATACTCGCTTTCAATCTCACCCCGTCGACGCAGGTAGTCTGTCAGGTCTTGCAGCTGTTGGTTCTTTTGCTCAAGTTGCAAGTCCAATACTTTCAGTTGGTCTACAAGCTGACAGCGAACCTCTGAAAGGCCGAAAAAGACACACTTACTGTGACAAGTAGGTTAGAAACTGGTTTCACTGATCAGAGTTAAGATGGTGTGAAATAAAGAGGTTGTGTTTCTCAGTGTGGCACAAACCACCACATGCCCTTTACCTTTGATTTGAATGTCGTAGTCCACCACACTGACCCGCTCCTTCCGAAGTTTGACATGGGAACTCATTGTTGATCCAGCTGGGTGGAATTCTGTATAAAGGCAGTGATTGCTTTCATTTATAAGCTAGCATGAAATATCAGCTCTGTTCTGTTAACCCTTTCTTAAAGAGGGGAGTATGCAAGCTGATCAGTATCCTTTGGTGGAGAAAACCTGTTAAACCCACTGTTACACCCTTTCTACTGAAGTCCCCTCCACCACCTCCACCCTTCCCCTTCCTCCAATAGACCCTACGCACTTCCTCTTGAGAGACTTGTAGAGCTGAAATGAGCATGTTCGTCTTACTGTAGCACATCTTTTCAACGTGGTCACACTCTGCTGCGTTTCCCTGAACAGCAGGCAACTAGAAAACCGGTTGGCATGTGTTGCTTGCTTGCACCGGGCAGACTGCAGAATTGCACAAGGTGCAAAAATAACTCTAACAGCATCTCAAGCTGCCCTAAAAATAGGACGAACCACAAGGCGCACAACTGTGCGGGGATGTTTGTGCTCAACACTACAGGTGGTTTTACAGAAGAAGAAAAAAAGAAGGAAAAAGAACTTTCACCAATAAAGGTTTAAATCCTTCTGCCTTTCACTTTACAGCATGTCTTGGCCGATTGAGAAGACTATACCCAGGTATATTCCAGTTCAGGATGAACACGACAGGACATGTTTATCGGAGAACTGGCTTTACCCTTTACAGTCAGACAAAGAAAACTACCAGGTCTTACTGATAGAGGTTTAACTGATCGTTTCTGATAGGTTTCAGTTTCTTGACACGCTTTTAACTATAATTTATGGGTGAAACTTACACCCAGGCCTATTCTCAAGAAAAAAGAAAGATGAGTGTGGCTGGAGCACGGCGGTTTTTCTTCAGCGCACGATAATCCTGAACTTTGCAAAATACTGTACATTAAAGGAAATTTATTGCAATTCAAAAAGAGGAAGATCAGAGTGTTGTCTTGCTGGATCATACCCTTTTGTACACAATCAATACGCACACATTCTCTCCATTTCTCCCCCTCAACTTCCCTTTTTTTTGAAAGCCAAACATCACTCATCAGCACTCTCTTTAGCTGAAATGTGCACTCTCCCAACAGATGACCTGCTAACATGATTCTGCTGTATTTCAGCATGGCCCAAACTCCCTGCAAAAAGGAGTTCAATTTTTGCAGCCTGTGTCACCCTTTTCCATTAGTCGCTTCATTCTTTCTCCATGCGATCAGCTGGTGAATCACCACATCCTATCCTCACAACCTGCCGCAGTATTTCATTAAGGCTAGTCTTAACCTTATTGCTACTATAGCGTTTCAGTTCCTGTTTTACTAAAGTAACCTTTTCTACCATTTTAGTGTTTTTTTAAACAAGCACAAACAAGTAGAGGCGTCTATAGTTATGAAACATCACTCGCCCTGGGGGGGGGTTTGTCTATAGCCAACAACAACATAAAACGATCAAGCAATGCAAACCTTAACTGCATAACAGCATGCGCCTTTTTAATACAAAAACATGTTCATTAAGTGTTAAACTGACTACCAGTGCTGATTTGGTGAGACAGGAAAACAAATAAAAATCAATAAGAGTGTCATACGTGCAGAGAGTCATACCTGATCAGGAGTCTTGACTAGTCTTTCCTCCACACTAAACTGAACTAAATGATGCCAGTTAATAGCGCAGTAACTGCTTCACCTCCCCCTCACTTTGGACACGGATGGATGTGGGTGGAGTGGAAGTCATCTCTGACTGACTCTCTCTCTCACACACACACACTTACTTACTTCTGCTGTTCTCACCCTCACCCCCCCTCCCTCCCCGCTTCTTCTCACTCACACATTCAGTTTGAGCCATCAGTGTGTGACTGTGCATGTGAAAACCTTTTCTAGTATAGTCCTTCCTCTCTCTCTTTCGTGCCTCCTCTTGAACCCCACAGCAGGTTTTCAGTTCAGTCAAACAACAGCTGTTTTCACTGATTGGGCTCTCCTTGCCGGTTCCTGAGTGAAATCAGCTGCACTGAGCTGATTTCAGTTGAGGGGGAAAAAAGAAAGTTATTTTGAGTATTATTATTATTATTATGTTTTTTTAAATATATTTTTTTTTATACACTGTCATGGCTACAATATGAGTGAGCGGGAGCAACCTTGACTTTAAAAAAACAAAACAGTCAGTTATGTAGATTAGGAGGGAAAAGAAAAACAGAAACAAAGACCACTGTTGCTATGAAATCATAACACAGAAAGATTTACAACAACATTGTTGACTTCTCTGTCTGAGAGGTGTTAAACAGCCTGCTGGTGTGAAGCTGAGCTTCTTGCAATTTGCCAGAGAGAGTCTAACTCTTTCAAAGATCATTAGGCATAATTTGTTCTTATCTGTCACGTACTTCTCTTTCACTCGTTTCCTTCCTCAAACAGACAAACAGACGGTGTTGCACAAACAATTAAAAAAAACAACTGGTATTTAACTTACGCATTTTGGATGACATTTGAGAAAGAACAGTTTGATTGAAGGGAGTCTCTGTTGAGTCCCAATGCAGCAGGGAGCTGTGTCTTTCAGTTTAAACCGAGAATGACCTTTGAACCTTGCTACACCCTACATAAAAGTAAACAAAATCTTTGAGCTCAACTGTAAACAGTCATGGCCCAACTATTCAGTTCACTGCAGGAAAAGTAAACTCATCTGAATTTAGTTACACTTAACTATGTCCCATTGTGACCTGTTATAGAGACCCATGACATTCCTGGCATTGAACTCTTGCTGTAGGTATTGTGAAAAGCCATGCAGTAGTCTTTCTCCGCCAGTAGGAGTCACTAAAGTATAAATTTGACAGTAAAGGCACTTCCCCACTTATGAATAATAGGCTTAAAAATGGGCTGAGTAGATGACACTTTAATATGAACTTCAGCATTCCATTACTACATGGCATCGAACATGTTTCCACAGTGGCCGTGCTTACAAGCACTCATTTTTACAGATCAAAATCCTTCCGATTGAAGACTTGTGGCAGCTGTTCTAGTATTTACACCTACCTACACCATATAGTGAACTGGTGGCATGCTCACAAGTGATTCATGTTTATCTCCTTGTCATGTGTTCAACCAGTTACCTGAGGACAGATATCTATGATGTCCTTTCCATCTTTAATCGTATGTATTAAAAACAAACTCTTTGCAGAGGATTAGTTCAGCTTAGAAGCTACAGTACCATTTTTGGAAAAAGAAAAGGACGTAGCCCACGGAGGAAGAATGCAGACACAATGAGTTGGGTTAAATCATTAACGTGGAAGAATTTTTCTTTTTATCAGTTTATTCCATCATCAAGGTTTTTATCCTATTTTTTGGGGTCTTTAACTTTTAATCAGATCATCACTCACAATACCAAGGTGGCAGTTGAATAACTTATCCGACTCTGCTGGTTTTCGTTCAGAGATGCTCATTATTTGATGCCTTTTTTGACAAAAATGAAATACAAGAAGTATTATTTGACAGATTTATTCTGTCAAATAAAGACCAATTGAAAAGTACAGGCGGTCTTAAACCTCACACAGCTTTTACAATGACAATAATCCCATAAAAATGACCAGACCAGTAATTAATTTGTATTTAATTTAGATAACTGAGTAGATTGATGCTATTAACAAAGTCTCTGCTCATCACTGCAGGAAAAAAAAAAATAACCAGAATTACCAAAAATAAAAAAGTGACGTAAATGTTGGAGCATTTTTGGTGCCGAGATAATCAGTGTGTAAGGTCAGGGGAAATGGCAAATAGATAAAAACTGGATGCAAGGGATGATTTTAAAAATGTCTAAAGCTGCAGTGTCACTGTGAATCAGAAGAGGAATCTTTAACATCTGTGCTTTCTGTTGCCTCGCTGACTTCGCTCAGCTCTTTGCTCTCTCCTCCGCTGTCTCTCTCGCTTTCTCTCTCATGGTCACCGGACCCCGACGGACTTTGGCCAGATTGTGCCTCTTGACCCGGCACGCGTGCTCCGGGTTTCCTCAGCTGTGAGATGACCAGGGGACCCAAAAAAAAAGAAAAGAAAAAAAAGTAACGCATTCAGATTTTGGTCACATGCTCATATTAAGGGGCAATTCAGAGTGAGTGACAATCAAACTAAAGTAGCTCATATTTTTTTTTAAAAAGATGTAAAAATCAAGTACCTCATCAGCCATGTGGGCCAGGTCTCTTTTCATGGCGTAGGCATCCTCCCCATCTGCGTAGTATTTGGGCTCTACTTCACTAATCCTGTGAAGGGACAAGATAGTAGATCAGTTAAAGTTGGTGCAAAAACATTCAGCTGTTCAGCACATTTTCAAACAGAATTTTAATGGATTTTAAAAATGAGAGTTATAGTTGAAACTATCACTAATCCAACCAACATTCTTTCATCTATATACACAAAGAAACAATCATGTAGAAAATGACCCTTAAAACTATTTTTAAAGCATGGTGAGGGAAAGAAAAAAGTAGACTGAGCCTTTAGAGACTTTAAAAAACAAAACAAAACCCAGTAGTACCTGGGAATAACAATCTTATAATTATCTACCAATATAAGTAACCATCACATTTGTGATACAGTTATCTGATTAATTATACTAAACACAGGTCAAATTATATCGACTACCAGTATAATTAAACTATTGTAACCCAGCTGATGTAAATAAAATAAAAGTTGTAGTAGTACATGAATTACATTTAAAAAACTTAACAGTAATGTTGCTAGAGAAACAGAAATACTTACTGGAATTTAAGTGTGTTTGAGTACAGGTGCAGGGCAGCTCGGTTGCTGCAGTGGGGAGAAAACATTTCTTGAAAACAGGAGCACTTACAGATACAATTGGAGTCAGAACACATTTTGTACATAGGAATTCATACAATCATTTATGTACACAAAGAGATAAACCCTAGTTTGCAACAAGCCAAGAGTCCGCAGTACCTCTTGCGAACATGAAGTGAGACATATTTAGCATTGAAGTTTTCTATCATGGCCCGACTGGCTTGATCCATCAGCTTCTGAGCCAGTCCCAGACGTCGGTGGGACCGCTTTACTGCCTAGAAGACAGAGTGTTTTAGGTGAAGCTGGTGGTTTAAGAGCTAAAGATGTTAAGATTTGAACTTGGAGTAACCAAGAAGGATGCGATCAGAAATTAGTACATCAGAGAGACAGCTCAGGATGAGCAGTTTGGAGATAAAGAGGCAAAGGTGAGCTAGTTTGCAAATGTGCAATAGAATAATAGTGGATATATTATGGAGGTGCCAGACAGTAAGAAGTGATGAAAACCATGAAGAATGACAGAGGAAATGCTAGCGACATGATGAGATTGGAGGCAGATCCGCTGTGGTGAACCCCCTAAAGGAGCACCCAACAGAATATGAAGAAAAAGAGGCAAAGGAGTTGTCTGAGGTGTCGCAGGTGCTCCGACTCACCAGGGATGTTATGTGTCCATGAGGTACATCATCTGGGTCCTCCTCCCTATAAAGAGTTTGCAAAAGTCATAAGAATCAATGCGTTTTCTTAAAAGTGACAGCAGGATACAAATATGCTCGCTAATACTTACATCTTTGCGAGCACATATCCCACAATTTTCCCATTTTCATCCTCTGCTATATATGAGAGCTGGAACGATTTAAACGGAAGAACAATTAGAGACATAACCGTACACATTGTAATGGTATGTATGATAGGAGCAGTGCCATTAGCAGAGACAGGGAAACTGGAATCAGCACTGCTCGTTACCTGTGGCCATGACAAGCCGTGATAGAAGTAGTATTTCATCTGATAATTTTCTGGAAGACACAGCAGGTTACAGTGCTGCATGTTCATTAGGTCCTCCGGCTGAAAGAAACACATAAAAAGGGTCACACAGCTGACCGGCGATATCTGCTCAGCTAAACTGCAGCCTGTAACGTTAGCTTAGCTCTGTGCAGAAACAGCGTGGCTCTCGAGTGAATTTCTCTATACTTACCCGTGCGTTTCGTATGTTCATTTTCCAATATCAATTACTAACAAGATTATGAAAACCAAAAAAATCTATTATACTACACTGGTCAAATGATTCATAACAGTTCCCCTACGGGGTTAAAGAGCCTGTTTCGCTAGCTAACTAAATGGACGTGCTAGCAAGGAAAGCAAGAGGAAGGAGCGTGCCACAATAACGTCATACACGTCCGCTCTGCCGGGATTTCAGAATAAAAGTTGTACCTATTGTATTAATCGGATTTATTTTGAAAAAAAAGTGGCCATAAACCCTTGCTGTGGCCCGACGGTGGCTAACATAGACAGACAACTATAGGTAATTTGAGGTTATACTAGTGATGGCCAAATGAAGCTTTCCGAAGCACTGAAGCTTGTATTGAAAAACGGTTCATTACTCGAAGCTTTTCAACACAGTCCTCTCCGGTGACATCTGGTGGTGAAAATTTTGAAGAGCAGCTTGAATCTGCAAAATAAAACGGACTGCTCAATTATCAGTGCTCACTCAAGAGTGGAGTTCTCTCTGATATTGGGCCACCGTTCCGTTGCTTTGAACATGTAATTGGTTTTGTTTTCTCGATTGGGGGGCTGAAAAAAATGTAATGCGTATCTGCGTAATACATTTTGATCAATAAACTTTCCCTATTTAAACATGCACTATGGTGTGGCCTTTCTTTGCTCATAACTCCTTGATGTTGGTAAATACAATAAGTGAGCAATATACATAATATACATATGAGAATGCACAGCACATTATGGAGTATGCCCCTGCTGTGAAGTCCTGCCTCCATCTACTTGTCGTTTAATCACTGGACAGCTTGACAGGTTCATACAAAATATTAGATTAGGCCAATTGTCCTATACATATTTGTGACCTAGGGGTGGGATTGATTGTGAACTGGAAAGGGAAAATGCTTAGGGAGCTGAGTACGGCTGCATCGTCACTGATTTGTAGAATCATTTTTGATTCGATACAGGATCCGATTCAATTTGATTGGAATCTGGAAAGTTTTGCCTCAGTCAGAAATATTACAATTCTGATCATTTAACAATATATATCCATAATTTCGTATCTATTAAAAGAAAGCTGACACATGTGAGACTTAATTAGAGATGTAAACAGAGAGTTATGAAACCTGCAGCTGCAGAAGCCAGCGGGAAAAAAAAGAGGCAAACACAGCGCGGACCCGACGACGCACCAAAATCTGACTCTGACGCGTCGGGTCCGCGCTCTGTGTTTACGTTTGTATGCAGAATCCGTAAACCTGCTCCCAGTTACTGTTTTAGCTGCATGGTGTTTGACGACATGTTGTGAGGTTTAACCTGAGATGCTGGCGTTTCAGGCATAATAACGTTAATTTACAAATCGACACGGGATTTTAATGAATCAATATCACTTTATTCAATTTAGCATGGATTGTAATCAGAAAGGCGATAATCAAAACCCACCCCTAATCAAGAACTTGCAAAGTAAAAACATGATCAATGTAAGGTAGCCCTTTTGTTATTTACATTTAAAAAGAGGATTAGTGTTACTGTGCGCTGGCTGAGTCTGTTTCTTTTCTTAGAAATAGTTTCTCCTGCCCTGGAGAAAATCCACTTGCATGGAACAGAAGAGGCTGTGGAGTGCAGGAACTACACTGCAAGTTGGTAGATATGCAGTTATTCCTGGGTCCTGCAGACTATCACCTAAAAACAATAAACAAAATGATTTTCTAAACTGTAGCAATGTCATGTACGTATAGTGTCAAATACATTTTTGTAGTCTTCATTAGCTTTAATTCACATGGAAGTGTTCCTAAAGTCATATGCTGTAATGATATTTCCATTATGAAAACATGATTTTGGACATTTCAAGTTTTTCACTTCGGCAGATAAAATGAATTGAGCAAAATCAACTCAAAATATTCCCACACGCCATAATGTCCTCTCTTCCTCGCTGGCTCCATATCTGTCAGTGGAATGATCACCTCTTCGCTCTCTGTCACCATCAACACACTCCACGAATCCCGTGGATGATTCACTTCCTTATATCCGTTTGAATCAGGTACCGAAGCAGTTACGTGCGTAATGAAGCTTCGGACGTCACTGGTCACGTGACTTTTGCCAAACGAAGCAAGCCTCGACACAGTGCTTCTGAACCAGTGTGTTGTCTTTTTTCGACACACGCTCCGGAGCGTCAGCTTCAAGCGGGCCATCACTAGGTTATACATTTTTGTAAATTAACACGGAACTGATGCACACATTTTACTAGACAACATTCTCTGTTTAGATGAAGATTTTTAAATAATATGATACAAATGCAACACATTTTCAAACACTTCCAAACACAAAAGAGGATTTTTTAATAGACACTGGATTAAACAAACAGTTGTTGAAAAAGTTTATATTAGAGATTTAAAAAAAATGTAAGAGCAATCCCACAAAACAAAAACAAACAAAACAAAACCAAAAAAAGCCTGCTAAAATATAAAAATGTTGCTTCAGCACTAATCAATTAATAGGGGAGACCGGGGATAGTTGTAACATTTTTGACATTTCTGTCTGTAAATTGGAGCTCGTTTAAGGTAGTGGATTCAAAATGTAATGCAAAGTATTTACATGTCTCTGCTATTAAATAGTGCAGCTATTTTCTCTGCAGCACAATTACCCATTGCATGGTGGCCTCAAACACAAAGAGTGAAATGTTACAATTAACCCCATAGTCTGGGTTAGTTGTAACATATCCTGGGGTGAAATGTAACACAATGAAATAAGGGTACTAACAAAATATTAACATGTAATCTTTGTTTATTCAACACATGAATGCACTTACATCCATTTATGTAGCTCTCTGTGTGTGTGACAGAATGCAGAAATCTAGCTTTTGAACATATTCCAACCCCCCAAAAAAGACAAATTATGGAATTTTCTGCAACTGAATATTTCATTAATTTTGGTTGGTCTTCCTTGAGTTTGGCCTCATTGGCTCAGTGGGCATTATAACCTACAACTCTTGCACCAATTTTGAACATAACAATGAAGCTGAAAAAATGTAGTTGTTCATCAGCATCGCAATTCCATTACTTTTTACCATGGCTTACCTTGGTGTGGTTTGCAAAGTGCTTCAGAAAGATGAGGAAATCTGTTTCTTGCACCCATCCTGATTTATTTCCACTACCAGTACTTCCTACTGGTCCATCTCTGACACAGTGGTCTGCATAATGTATGTGTGGGAACACAAACAGTGGAGGAATTGTGTTGCCAATGGCATTAACCACATATACAAATGCGACCAGTGAACCTCTCTCTGCTGATGTCGTTGCCCCAACTTGTTTAATATAAGTTAAAGTAATAGTGTGGTAAGTTGTAACATTTGCATTGTTACAACTAACCCAGACTGTTGCTGTTACAACTGACCCAGACTCCTATAGCCATGAACTAGCTAACATTACAGCCAACGGCTAAAACATTAGCACTAAAGACCTACACAGAATATATCCCCATAGACATACAAATAACACAATTTAAGTTTGATGAGTTTAACTGAAAAGCAAATAATGCTATTAAACATTGAAATAAAGTAGAAAAACTTACTTTTTGGCATACAAATTACTTTTTTTCGTGTTAAATTGTCTGTGTTTGACAAAATGTGCTGATTTTTCACATGTGATAGCAGAACTGAGTTGGGCATGCACAGGATGAGTCACATCATTTGAAACTTAGCCCTGATTGGAGAAATTGGAAGTGTTACAACTGACCCACGTTACAACTATCCCCGGTCTCCCCTACTCTCAACCTTCGGATAAACTGCCTTTTATATCCTATCGTTTACTGCAAAATCTTTTTTGCAGTAAACGATAGTTTAGTTAGATAGTTATTTATTTTACTTTGCTGTCCTCCTTGCTGCATATGTCAGATTTATAGTGTGTCTCATTCTGTTATTTAAAAGTCTCATCCTTGTTAAAAAATAAATTACGGTAGACTGTAATTTTAAATACCATCTATCTTCTACTTGTCGCCCTATATTAGTCTACAACATGTATTATTAGTCTTAATATTTGATGATTTACAGAGGCTTCCACACTCAAAATATTTAGATGACGTATTTAAATGCATTTAAATTCCCCATTCTGTCAACGAAGCAATGCTTTTAGGTCAATCAAACAGCGAGAAAGCACACATTCGCGTCAGATTAGCCTACTTGGCCACATTGCTCCAGGTAAACACCTGGCATCCAATCAGCAGCGCAACATGCAAATCGAGCAGGTATCAGAAGAGCAGGGTGCAGATAGGAAATGGGTATTTGCAGAATAACGCCCGTGTATCGGGCGGTGACTTCAGCATTTTAAAGGAATAATACTCTGAGCCTGTATTCAGAAACTGAGTTCAGATCGCCGGTGTCTGCACTTCTCAGGCATGCAAACACCATGGGCATAAAGTGTGATCAGGAACGCGTTTTGGCATACGGGAAAGACTGACTCTGTGACTGAGAGCGCTTTTCCAGATGGAGACTGACCTGAGGTTGGAGTCAAGTTTGTGGATCGGAAATAAAAGATATCGGGCCGTCCTCACAGGTTGGCATTTGAAATGGACTGAGGCGGATAAAAAGAATGGTGACAAGAAAACAGGTAAGTGCTCGTGTATCTCCCTCACATCTGTATCCTAGATGTTTAATGGGGCTTTATAAAGACTGTGTTTAAATGAGAGCGCGACACAAACACTCAGAAAGTTTCACAATGCACTTCTCCCCTGTTTTACTTAACATTTAAAGAGCCAAATATAAATGTGCACACATGGACCACTTTGCAACACCACATTTAAAAGAGAAAGTCTGCTTCGTCTGCACTGTACTGACATAAACTGAACTGAACTGACAAAAAAAGACAGTGGCCTACACTACAAACACCAATTACAAACTAGGCGTTAAGTTTGAACACAAGAAGGGGCACATCAATTTAATCTAAGTGCATGCAGAAAACGTGAAGAACGAGTTGAGCAGCACAAACATGACACATGACCTACAAAGGTAGTTTACTAAAAACACAGCCACAAACACACCCACCTCCTGGCATAATATTATAAGCCAACACTGAGCTTAAATTCTAGTTTGCATTTTTTTTTTTTAAAAAGTGGGGTTTTTTTTTCTGTCTCATCCACAAATATAGGTGAAAAAATATTTTAATACTGTCCAGTTAAAACCACTAAC